TAAAGGAATTATTTTTTTTAATTGGAAAAACAAATATAGACAGAGAGGAGGAGAGACAGACAGGAAATCTTCTGTCCCATGGTTCACTCCCCAAGTGGCTACAACAGCTGGAGCTGAGGCAGTCTGAAACCAGGAGCCCAGAGCCTCTTCCAGGTCTCCCACGCAGGTGCAGGATCCCAAGGCTTTGGACCATCCTCAACTGCTTTCCCAGGCCACAGCAGGGAGCTGGATGGGAAGCAGGGCTGCCAGGATTAGAACTGGCGCCCATATGGGATCCCAGTGCGTTCAAGACAAGGACTTTAGCTATCACGCTGGACCCTCTCCATATGTATTTTTAATTATCCCTGGATTACTGATTATACCTAATATAATGTAAATATTACCTAACTAGTTGTTATATTTTATTATTTAGGGAAATGATAAGAAGTCTGTAACTGTTCAGATCAGGCACATTTTGGAATATTTTTACTTTGTGTTTGGTTGAATTTGTGGATTCAGAACCCATTGGGAATGAAGGATCCAGTGTATTCTGAAAACTAAAAAAATGAAAAGAAATTACATTTTAGAATACAAACAAATGGAAAAACATCTCTGTTCACAAATGTGGTAGGAAGCATTGTTTAAAATGTCCATATAAGACAGTCTACAAATTCAGAGCATTTCTTTGAAAGACCAGTGGCATTTTTATTGAAATAGAAAAACAAAGAGTTCTTCGATTCATTTGGAACCACGAACGGCCAAATTAGACTTGAGAAAGAACAAGCTGGAGGTGTCGGACTTCTTGATTTCAAGTAACATACCAAATCTGCTGTAATCAAGATAGTTTATAGTGTGTACTAAAGACTTAAGCAGACATTTCTTCACAGAAAACATTAAAAAAATGACCAGTAAGCCCATGAAAATGTGTTCAATATAGTTATTAACCATTAGATAAATGCAAGTCATTGACCACAGTTATATACCCCTAGGATGACTAGCCATCCAAAAAGTAGAAAATAAATATTTTGGGGATTTTCAGAAGTTGAAACCATGGCTCATGGACGGTAGGAATGTAAAGTGGATGGAGCCACTATGGAAAAACAGTTTAGTAATTTCTCAAAAAGTCAAAGAGAATTACCATGACCCAACCCATTCCTAAGTATGTACCCAAAAGAATTATAAACAGACACTCAGATATATGTGTCAGCATTTCAGAATTATTCACAGTACCAAAAGTTGAAAACAACCCCAGGGTTTATTAACATATAATAGGTGAACACAGTAGAAAATATTTCATCATAAAGAATAATTAAATTTTTAAATATTTATTTATGTGGAGGAGTTACACAGAGAGAGTGCTTCCATCTGCTGGTTTACTTGCCACATGGCTGCAACAGCCAGATTTGGACTAGGCTAAAGCCAGCATTTTCATCCAGGTCTTCCGTGTGTGTGGCAGGGACCCAAGTACTGGGACCATTTTCCACTGCTTTCCTTAGAATATTCATGGGAAGCTGGATCAGGAATGGAGCAGCTCAGACATGAACCAGTACCCATATGGAATGCCAGCATCCCAGCTGGTGGCTTAACTTTCCACAACATTACACTGGCCCCAAGAGTGAAATTGTTATAATCTATATGTATGCACTCTTTAATCAAAGATAGGGGAAATAAGCCAGGAACAAATGAATAAATATTATATGATTCTTCTTACATGAGATATCTAGAATAGGCTAGCCTTAGAGACAGGGATAAGTTAGGGGTTACCAGGTGCTAGAAGGAGGCACCCAAGAACTAGCTACTGTACCTATGTAGAGAGTGGACCAGCAGCCAAAAGATTCTCTCTCTCTCTGTCTCTCTCTCTCTCTCTGTTTCTCTCCGTTTTCTCTTCAACACTAATGTAAGTGGATAAATACATCTTTAAAAGGTAATAAAAAGTAAAGGCACAGTGTTAAACAGGAAGGAATGTGCTGGACTGCATTTTTGCCCTAGTACCATTGGACAGATATTTAAAACTTCTCTGTAATTGATCTTATATGCTTCATCTTTTCAGGTATTTTATTTTCTCCCAAAAACAGAGACCCAGGCCTTAGAAAAGGAAAAAGAAAAAAACACGGGTTTCCTAGTATGTGTTGTTAACACTCTGCTGCTCTCTCCTTTCATGTTATACCAGCTGAAAACAAGATTCTGGAAAATGATACTCTCCCAGCAAAGTATGCGTACTAATTTAGCCAGTTTGTCATTTTCCTTCTCTTTAAAATCATTTTTTAAGATTTATTTATTTATTTGAAGGCAGAGTTACAAAGAGAGACACAGAGTCTTACATGTACTGGTTAACTCCTCAGTGACCGTAATGACCAGGACTAGGCCAGGCAGAAGCCGTGAGCCCAGAACTCTATCCAGGTCTCCCACAAAGATGGCAGGGACACAAGGACTTGGACCCTCTTCCACTACTTTCCCAAGTTCATTAGCAGGGAGCTGGGTCAAAAGTGGAGCATCCAGAACTCAAAACAGGACTTGTTTTGGCATGCCCGCATCACAGGCAGTGGCTTAGGGTACTGTGCTACAACACTGTCCCCTAGGTTTTTATTTTAAGATTTATTTATTTTTATTGGAAAGTCAGATATGCAGAGGGGAGGAGAGACAGAGAAGATCTTCCATCCAATGATTCACTCCCCAAGTGACCGCAACGGCTGGTGCTGCACTGATCCAAAGCCAGGAGCCAGGAACCTCCTCCAGGTCTCCCACACAGGTGCAGGGTCCCAACGCATTGGGCTGTCCTCAACTGTTTTCCCAGGCCACAAGCAGGGAGCTGTATGGGAAGCAGGACTGCCGGGATTAGAATCAGTGCCCATATGGGATCCCGGGCGTTCAAGGCAAGGACTTTAGCAGCTAGGCTATTGCGTCAGGCCCTAAAGTTGTTTTTCTAACCACAGATTTCTTCACAATTAACAACAACAACAAAAAAAAAGGGATAGAGAACAACATACCATGATAACACAAATCAAAAGAAAGCTGGAATACTGTAATTTTAAACAAGGCAGATTTCAATATAGAAAACTATTAGCGATAAAGATTAGGTTCCAAAACAGACTTAACAATCCTTAACATGCATATATTAACAACAATGCATCACGATACACAAGGCAAAAAATCGGTAAAACTGAAGAAAAATAAACAAGACCACTGTAACGGAGAATTCGACACAGATGGATCCAGTAGGCATAAAATTAGGATATATTTGAACTGAGTAGTATCTTCAGTTAACTGAATTCAATGACATTATGGAATATTTCATCAAACAACAGCAAAATACACATTCTCCCCCAGGCACAATCACCAAGAGAGACTACATTTTGAGCTGCAAAGTATATCTTAATACATTTAAAGAGATTACAATGAATAATTTAGAAAAAAATGGGGAGGCACTCTTAGGCCACAGAGAAATTCAACTAGAAATCAATAAAAAAAAAAAAAAAGCTGGAAAAATCCAAAAATATCTGGAGGTGAAACAGTACATTTTGAAATAACACATGGATCAAATAAGAAGTCTGAAAAGTATTCAAACATTTTGAACCCCATGAATTAAAATACAGCTCATCAAAATGTGTGGGATGCAACAGAAGCAGTGCTTAGATGGAAATCTGTAGGATTGAGTATACAGTTTAGAAAATACAGGTTTCAGAGCCATCGCAGTGTAATAGCCAGTAAAGGCACCACCTGCTACACCAGTGTCCCATATGGACACCAGTTCCAGTCCCAGCTGTTCCATTTCCAGTCCAGTTCCCTGCTAATGCCCCTGAGAAGCCCAGGAAAATAGCCCAAGTTCTTAGATCCTTGCACCCACGTGGGAGACCAGAAAGGCTTCTGGCTCCTGACTCTGGCCTGGCCCGGCTCTAGCTGTTGTGGTCATTTGAGAAGTAAAGCAGTGGACAGAAAATCTCTCTCTTTCTCCCTCCAACTCTTGCCTTTAACAACAACAACAACAAACAAAAAAGAAGAAACGTATTTCAAATCAGTAACATTCCACATTAGAACAATAGAGAACAGTATTATAAAGCTACTAAGCTAGGAAAATGGAGAAAAAAAAAGAGTAATATAAACTTAAAGTAAAATAAAAGAAGTACTGAAAGTCACAGCAAAAATCAACAAAATTGAAAGTAGGAAAGCAATGCACAAAGAATCAGTGAAAGCAAAAGCTATTTCATTTTTTTTAAAGATTTATTTATTTTTATTGGAAAGTCAGATATACAGAGAGGAAGATCTTCTGTCCGATGATTCACTCCCCAAGCAGCTGCAACGGCCGGTGCTGCACCAATCCAAAGCCAGGAGCCAGGAACCTCCTCCAGGTCTCCCATGCAGGTGCAGCGTCCCAAGGCTTTCGGCCATCTCAACTGCTTTCCCAGGCCACAAGCAGGGGGCTGGATGGGAAGCAGGACTGCCGGGATTAGAATCGGTGCCCATATGGGATCCCAGCGTGTTCAGGGCAAGGACTTTAGCCACTAGGCCATGCCGCTGGGCCCTTCTTGTCTTAATCTATAGATAATTCTAACCAGTAGCCCAGCAAGTTATTTTGTAAATAGCAGACTCTGCAGGTCTGATACCATCACAGCCTAAGCCAGTTTTTTTTAAAAGATTTTTATGTGAGTTTGCTTTAAGAGGTATTTCAGTTTTACAGAAAATTGAGCAGATAATACCGACACTTCACACATACACCCTGTTACTAATGCCTTACATTAAGTGTTCAACCATTCACCTCCTGGAGGACATCTGTGCTGCTTCCAGCTGTGGCAAGTATGAATAAAGATGCCAGCCCAAGAAATACACCTTTTAAAGCTCAAGTGTCTAAGGTGGCGAGAAGTAAACATGTGTGGGTACTTGGAGACGAAGGGAGCCTTAGTTCAGTGGTCACAGCTTCCCCTGCGAAGGTGCGGTAGCTGCCAGTCCAACCCATACCTGTGTGATCAGCTGGCTGTTTGCGGAAACTTTAAAGCAGACCCTGTCCCTTCTCTCGGCCCTTACAGGAGACACTCTGAGGCTCCGAACAATTCTGGAAGCAATACAGAAGCACATCCACTCTTCTTCCCTCATCTTCAAACTGGCTCAGGATGCATTCAAGATTGCTACTCCCGCAGACAGTAGTACAGACAGCACCCTGCTCAACGTGGCCCTGGAGCTGGGGTTGCAGGTAGGCTAGGGATGGGCCATCCCTGCTTGCAGCCTGTGGCATATTGACCATGCTCAGAGGATAAGGTCGCTGGAGGATTGCCCGTAGACCTTCTTTCTGTTTTTCTAGAATACAGATCTAGCAGAAGGGAGAACTTTAAGTTGCAGCCAAAAGCAGTATAGCTTTAGGTTCCATGGGGACCCTGTCTTCTCTGTCCCTTCACTCCTCCAAGTCATTCAAGGTGTGGAAATAAGAACTTTGTTTTAGGTCATCAGAGAAGCCTCCTATTTGATCAATGGGAGGGATGGAGCAGAAATTCAACCTGCCTGTACTTTTCAGGGAAGACTGCTGTTTGAAGCGTTAAAAAAGAAGGCGGTGGGGAAGGGGATGTTACAGCAGTTGAGCTTAGCTGGTAGAAAGGCCTCTTTCGTGCGCAGGTGATGCGGATGACCTTATCAACTCTTAACTGGAGACGCCGGGAGATGGTGCGATGGTTGGTGACCTGTGCTACGGAAGTGGGTGAGTTTCCCACCTCTCACCTGTTCCAGGAGACAAGTTTTTGTGTCCTGCCCTTGTGACAGTACAGTGAATCAGTAGAGCCCCCACGTTCCAATCCTGACATCTTAGGAGAAGGTGGGGAATGCACGTAGCAGAATATGGCCTCTGTTCGGCCAGCCTGAGTCCTGCCCTCTCTGCTTGGACTGCAGCCTGATGTCAGCAGCACGGTGACCCTCTGATCACAGACATGTCTGAGAGGATGAATCTCCACCAGTGCTCCCTCGGGAAGTAATGGGCCCAATGGTTTGGTCTCAGCCCCTCTCAATGCTTCTGAGAAACCGTTCCAGAGTCCAAAGCTCTAGCAGAAAAATCTCCTCCCCGAAAGGCCCCACTTGAGCTAGAACCACTAGGGAGGTCTGCTACTCGCAGACTCTGTTGCAGCCCCCTTATGAGGGCTACGAGCCTAGCAGAAACTTTCGGGCCTCTGCCTGGAAAGGATCTGGCCATCTGGGGTGCTCCTCTTACCCTGGTTTGCCTTAGATTATCTCAAGGCTGCCAAGGAGGAAGGAGGACGTCTCCACAGATCCCAAATGATAACCTGGGCGGAGCTGGATCAGGACCCAGATAGCCACAGCTGAGCCCAGGCTCTTCCCAACAGGTGTGCGGGCCCTGGTGAGCATCTTACAGAGCTGGTACACGCTTTTCACCCCCACCGAGGCTACTAGTATTGTGGCAGCCACAGCCGTCTCCCACACCACTATCCTGCGCCTCAGTCTTGACTACCCTCAGCGGGAGGAGCTGGCCAGCTGTGCTCGCACGCTGGCCCTGCAGTGTGCTATGAAGGATCCACAGAGCTGTGCCCTGTCAGCCCTCACACTCTGTGAGAAGGACCACATTGCCTTTGAGGCAGCCTACCAGATTGCCATCGATGCCGCTGCTGGCGGCATGACCCATTCCCAGCTGTTCACCATCGCCCGCTACATGGAGCTCCGTGGCTACCCGCTGCGTGCCTTCAAGCTGGCCTCCCTGGCTATGAGCCATCTCAACCTGGCCTACAACCAGGATACCCACCCAGCTATCAATGATGTGCTTTGGGCATGCGCCCTCAGCCACTCTCTGGGCAAGAACGAGCTGGCGGCCCTCATCCCCTTGGTGGTGAAGAGTGTGCACTGTGCCACGGTCCTGTCTGATATCCTGCGGCGCTGCACGGTAACTGCACCGGGCCTGGCTGGCATCCCCGGCCGCCGCAGCTCTGGCAAGCTCATGTCCACGGACAAGGCTCCACTGCGCCAGCTGCTGGACGCCACCATCAACGCCTACATCAATACAACCCACTCACGCCTGACGCACATCAGCCCCCGCCACTACGGAGAGTTCATCGAATTTCTGAGCAAGGCCAGGGAGACCTTCCTGCTGCCCCAGGACGGCCACCTGCAGTTTGCCCAGTTCATCGACAACCTCAAACAGATCTACAAAGGCAAGAAGAAGCTGATGCTGCTGGTACGTGAGCGCTTTGGCTGAGCAGGCAGGTGTCTCACTGCCAGGCAGCCTGAGCTCCAGCTACCAACAAGTCAGGCCATGGCCACTGGACTGTCTGTCTACCCTGAGGGAACTCTGAGCACTTGTGACTGAGGCTGGAGGAGCACAGGGCTGAGGATGGAGAGAGTCCAGCTCTAGCCAGTCCACCTGCCTTGGCAAGCTTTTCACCACAGCCCACCATTCCTGGAGGAGCCAGGCCCTGCAGATCCATCAGACATCCCCACAACACGCCACCTCACGTCCCTTGGAACCTGCGTGTCCTGGCCGCTGGCCCTCTCGACCTTGGCAAACACAGAACACTGTTCCGTCTCAGGGATTGCCTAACCAGAGAAACAGAAGCATTTACAGTCCTGTATATACTATAGTATATGTGTTGCCAACTGTTGTAAAGTTGTAACTATTTATGATTGGATGGGCACTTGAAGTAGCTGTGGGAAGGAGGTGAGGCTTGCTTTCTGAGGAGACTCACAGCCATTTCTCAGGTTTCCCTTGTAGAGTGTGTGCTGTTGATAGTGGGAGAGTGAGGGTGGCAGGGAGAAAAGTGGTCAGCTGGAGTAAATCCCAAGTCTAGTCTATGCAGAAACCCAGGCTGCAGGAGGCACCTATAGCCAGTGGTGATGGGCAGAAGCCAGGACTGGATTCCACCTGCAACTCATGGAGCAGTGAAGATACTGAAGCTCCCTCTTCCACCTCACACAGCTTCTCCAGAACCTGCTGATCCCAAGAAACAAGTGCAGGGAGAAGACAGAGGCCTGGGAAGGTGCTGGCTCATAATACCCACCGACTCTGGTCGCCTGTGTTAGAGAGCATCTGGTTTCATTTCTGTGTGTGACTGTCTGAATGGCTAAGTACCTGGGTCCATGTATGTAGATGTATTTGTGCATGCCAGTCTGTATATGCACATATATCTTGACGTGTATTTGTTACTTCTGTGTCCATGTATGTGTGTGCTAGACCATGGGCTTCAGTGTGGCATACACATATATGTGTGAGAATGCCCATCTGTGTCTAACTCATGTTTGTCTGGCATTGTTAATGTGTATGTATGTATGTGTGTCTGGGCACACATAAGGACAGGCGTTTCAACCTCTGTACCTGTGTGTGTGCCCACTGTCACTGGACCTACAGATCTGTGTAGCTGAGTATATTACTATGTGTTGATTTGTCTCTGTGATTCTGTTTGAGGATCTGCATAAATGTGTACCAGATCTCTCCTCCATTCCTCCGTCTCTCGTACCAGAAAACCATCTGTCCCCCGTGCCGGTGCCTCCTGTGGTCACCTTTCTCTTTTGCCTACCAGGCTTCTGAGCACCAGTCTCCCTCTGCCCTGAGACCGGCGGCTTTAGCTCCACAGTTCTCAGCCCATACTTGCTTTCAACCCCTGCCTTTCTACCTCAAGCTTCCTTTTGCCTGCTTTCATCATGGTCCTGTCGGTCACTGACCTGGAGGCTGGGACTGGTGTTCGTTTGGCCTTTCCCTTGCTAAATCTTGGCCTTTGAGGGCGGACCCTGGCCAGCTGCCACACTGTTATGTCCCTGCTACCACCTGACCCCCGTGCTCGGCCTGGAGTTGTTTTAGGAGGTAGTTAGGGTGTTCGGATGAGTCTTGGTGTTCACTGTTTCATGTCTTAGTTCCTGAGTTGGGGTGGGGCTTGATAGAGAAGGGGTGGAATAGCTAGAGTGTGAACTAAGGACCTGTCTGCTTTTTCCTTTCTTTGGCAAACTATTTATGTCACCCTTTTTTATTACAAACTGACCAGTAAGTTGTATTTGCTGTTTGTGGCTACTAGAGTCTTACCGTCCAGCCAAGGGCCCCTACAACATCTCAGCCCAAATGGGGGTTGGTAAAAAAAAAAAAAAAAGAGAAGCCACTCCCATTTCTGTATCACAGTTGCCCTTTTTTAGCAAGTGTGTGAACTCACAGTGCTTTTCTATGAATAAATCATGGGTCACATTTTTCTAAAAGCAGAAATTGTGTTCTCTCAATAAATTAGGCCCTTCTCTCCCTTTAGCATGATGCGCTTGCCTGATGGGGAGTTGGCTGTGCCTAAAGGGAGGTGTAGACTGACACCTGAAGGACTCCTTGCCACATGAGACTCCTTCCCAGAGCTCATGGGAAGCTCAGAACCTTGACATGGGAACAGATGCCATCAAGATCCTGATCCAACACCAGGGAGTGCTCTCAAGACGACGCCAAGGAACCCTGAGCACTCTGTGGCCTCCCAGCCACTCTGCTTGGAGACTAGCCTAAGGCTCCAATTCTAAGCACCTCACTGAGCCTTTATGTCCCTCCATCTTCCAGTGTCTCCCTACTCCCTTAAGAGCTCATCTTGGGCCCCAGGCCTCCCTGAGTGTGCTGAACACTTCTGTACTTCCCTCTGGTCTGCTCCTCTTCCTTTCCAGACACAAAATCCTGTCCATTTCACCTTTGTGTGCCTCTGCCTCTCTCTCTGCAAATGGCACAGCCCCGACTAGCAGGAAGCTATATACTCCTGTGCCCTGTAGCTCTGGGGCTTGGCCGTGTGTACACATGATGGTAGTGAGCACTCTCAAGTACTTATGGGAGAGGATGCAGAGAAAAGCTCAGGGAAGAAGCACAGGTTAAGAAGGAACTGAAGGCAGACGTGTTTCACAAATCACAACTCTGGACGTTTATTCTCTGACAACAATCACCCGGAAGCAGCACGTGGCAAGACTGTACTTAATTCTGCCGAAGTAGCCGTGAGTGTCTGTGCACGGCATCCACGAAGGCCCCCACATGCTCTGGGTCCATGTCAGGATAAAGCCCGTGGCCAAGGTTGGCAATGTAGCGCTGTGGCCCAAAACCATCCAGCATCTGTTGAACCAGCTGCCCGATCTCTTCCTGGGGGACCAATGGGGCACTGTTAACCAAGGCAGCCAGCAAGCCTTCCCTCCCCAGACATAAGTGACATACACATACACAGACATGCTTCCACTTGGCCACTCATTCAAGCAAAATGTATTGGATGTCTGACAGGAGCCTGCACTAAGAAAACACAAATTGGGGTCAGTGCTGGGACATAACATGCTAAACCACTATCCATAGCACTGGCATCCCTTATGTGTGCTAGTTCAAGTCCTGGCTGCTCCGCTTCCCAACTAGCTCCCTACTAACGTGCCTGGGAGGATGGTAGAGGATGTCCCATGTGCTTGGGTCCTTCGCTCCACAAAGGAGACGGAGAGGAGATTCCTGCCTCCCTGACTTCAGGCTGGCCCAGCTGTGACTGTTGCAGCCCTTTAGGGAACAAACCAACAAATGGAAGATCTCTCATCTCCCTCTCTACAACTCTACCTTTCAAGCAAATAACTAAATCCTTAAAAAGAAAGCAAGTACAGATCAACAATAATAAGAATGCCTGCCTTCCCTGGACTTAGATTATGCATTTAGAGGAGGGAACAGCCCGCTAGAAATGCATACATAATAATACCCACAATCATATATCACCATGGACTACACAGACACATAGAGTTACCGTGGTTCTTACCTTGGATGCGTACAGGGCACAGGGGTCTAGGTTGCCCTGCAAGGTCACCGTCTTCCCCACGCGCTCCCTAGAAGCAGAGCCACTGCCACATTCTCCTAACTGCCTTCAGGCAGCTGTCCCCATTCCACCTCCACCTCAAGGGTCCACTTCCATCACTCACCGGGCTTTCTTGGGGGTCAGCGTCCAGTCAAGCCCAATTACCTCATAGCCAGCCTGTGCCAGCTCCTCCAGTGCAAAATGTCCATCCTTAGCAAAGATGATCTAGAAGAAAAGAAGATACAGAGGACCCCCGCCACTATGCGCACTGACCTTTTTCAGCTGCACTTCTGCTGCCCTCTGGTGGTCACTCTGGGTCCATGCATGACTTTCCCAAGGAGGCCCACCTTCCCTCAACCCAGCCCTTATCCCTACCATGGGCACTGGGGCAAGGCCTGCCTCCTGTAGTCCAGCCTTCACTCGCTTGGCCACATCGCGGATATAGGGCAACGCAAACTCGTTGAAGAGCTGTGGGCCAAGATGCCCTGCATGGGACTCAAAGAGCTGCAGTGCCTACAGTTCAAAGGTAGCGAGAAGAAATATGTAGCACAAACCAGGAAATGTGTTGAGCTCCACATAGCGAATGAACCTCAGTTTCCTCCCAGGTGACTTGCATCCTTGATTCTGCCTGAGACTATAAACCCAATTCCAGTCAAAGTTCTGCCTTCTTGAGATCCCAGCACTACTGCTGCTCTTCGGAAACAGGAGGCACCAGGCTCTCCTGCCGTTGTTGAAGTGGGATCCAGCCAGGTGCCTGGAGGCCAAGCGGTTTTTGCATTTGGCACGAAGACCCTGACCTCTCAGTTTTACAATACTTGCCTCTGGTCCTGTTGACCAAACCCCAGCCTGTTTGTCTCTCTCCCTGGGCACTCACCTGGGCACCAGCAGCCACTTGTCCTACCAGATAGGGCACCAGAGCATCAGTGAGGAGGCGAAGCAGCCGGTGGCTGGCCTGAGGCCTTTGGTAGAGCCAGCGCTTAGCCTGAGACATGGTGCTTGAGCTGCCACCTTCCACCATGTATGTCATCAGAGTCCACTGCAGAAGGACACAAAGCGGAGGTCACAGGTGCAGGACACTTCCTTCCCAGGTCGCAACAGACCTGCCAGGGCGAGCCGATTACCCCTCTGCCTCCCCCAGTCTGTCATGTCACACACCGGGGCACCAGCAAAGCCAATCAGTGGTACACGGCCAGCCAGCCGCTGCCGGGTCAGGGTGATGGCCTGGAACACGTAGCCCAGCTCAGAGGCCACTGTTGCTGGATCCCGTAGGCGCTCCAGGTCTTGCTCTTCTCTTAATGGCTCTGGGAAACTGGGTCCTTTCCCAGGTACCATGGTCACTTCCATGCCCAGTGCCTGGAGGGGGGAAACACATCTGTGTGCCCAACCTGGAACTCCTGAGAGTCAAGGTTCTGTTCAGCCCAGGTCAGGAGGAAAGGCAAAGGAGAATACAATTCAGCCCCATCCCTGCCAGCCTCAGCATTACTCTATCTGCTTATGTGGATAACAGCCCATCCTGAACCTTAACTGGACTGACAGGAGGGTTCCCCTCTTCCGCCCATTCCGGGATCAGGCATGCGTGGGTACCTGGGGTACTACAAGGATGTCGGAGAAGATAATGGCAGCATCCAGAGGAAAGCGCCGCAGGGGCTGTAGGGAATTGGAAGCAAGTTGCTAGGTGACGCGCTGACGCTTTCATTCCCCCCCTCATTTTGCGGACCCCTCACCTGCAGAGTCAGTTCACAGCAAGCCTCAGGAGAGCGGCAGGTGCTGAAAAAGTCCTGGGCAGCCCGCGTTTCCCTAAACTCTGTTGACAGGAGAAGGCAGGACGGGCTCAACACTGAGGCCCTGGGAGATTTGTTCTACCAAACCCCAACTCCACAGTGTGGTCTAGTCCAGTCCCAGTCCGGCTCCCACCTGGTAGGTAGCGGCCTGCCTGCCGCATGCACCAGACCGGAGTGTAGTCCGTTTCCTCCCCCCAGGCTGCTCGAAGGAAAGTGTCATTCTTCAGCTCCGGAAAACCCTTGGGGCTGGCGAGCAGGTGGAGATGGGGGTAGAGGTTAGTATGCTGGGCTGGGAGTTGGTGGGGGAGGTGTGCATTTTGAAGGCGGGGTCCGCTATCTGCCACCTCCAGGCCAGCTTCCCCAGCCCTGGCTCCCCGCTCCCCTCTGCCTATCAGCTGCTGCACAGCACTGCAGAGCGGCCTCCACTGGGGCCTCCTTCCTACGCGTTGCCCCCGCTCCCAGCCGCAAAGCCTCCGGAGGGAACTGTAATGAAAGCAGGATCCGGGGGTGCCAGAGGGCAGGTTCAGGGCCGAGGTGAGGGGACACCCAAAGAGGCACCCAATTGACGACACCAGGACGGCTCCTGAAGAGCTGCCGGGGTGGGGAGGGAGGGAACAAGCATGCAAGGAGATCCCAGGAATGAGTCTCAGCACGGCTGCAGGGTTCCGACTACTCGGAACTTTGCTGGGAAGTTTCCAGGGAATGGAGACTACACGAACAGAACACTCGAGTCGGAAGACTCAGATCACAAGCCCCGCTAGCCGCACGCAAAACTCACCCGGACCCGTTAGTCTCCATGGCGTGTTGTCACTGCCAGCGCCTACGCCCCCTGGAACCCTAACAGAGCCTGTGGACAGCCCAGGCTCCGCCCCTTCCTGGAGTCCTCCAGGGGCGGCGCCATGTTGGGCGCCACGTGATCCGGCCTCAGAGACAGTTCTGGGGCTGCCCCGACGAATGCCTGTAAGACCCTGGACATTTTTCGCCGTAAACATCGCTGTAGCGACGCACCGACAAACCTCCAAAAGCTCAAACTCCGCTCAAACTACCTCTTAAGTGGCGTGAAAAACGTGTTCTTATCTGGGAACCTTGAAGATTCGGCCCAAGTCTTACTCTCACGTCCACACCACATGATACTAACGATTTTATCCAGATGGTGCAACTATCAGATGGTTCCTCCCCAGAATCAACTTCTCTAGCAGGTGTTGAACGAGTCCAACTCTGCTCCAGTCCCTTTAAGGAAGTACAGCCTGATGAGAGCCCAAACAGCTGCTATCACATTGAAGCGGATAACGATCAGTAGGGACCCTCCTGGGGTGTCTAAAACTGGGGTGTCTAATGGCCCAGGCCCACGAGGAGGTGCGCTTAGTCCAGAATATACGGTGAGGGCGGGCCGGGGCGGGCCGGGGCGTGGTGGGAAGCGTGGCCCGCGGTCGCTCCGGCCGCTCGCCGACGGGCTCGTCCCCTGCCCCGGCTCCCCTGTGTCCCTTCGCCATGGCGGGGCCTGGCCCGGGCGCGGCGCTCGAGTCCCCGCGGCAGCTGCTGGGCCGCGTGCGCTTCCTGGCGGAGGCAGCGCGGAGCCTCCGCGCCGGGAGGCCGCTGCCGGCGGCGCTGGCCTTCGTGCCGCGGGAGGTGCTTTACAAGCTGTACAAGGACCCGGCGGGGCCGTCGCGGGTGCTGCTGCCCGTGTGGGAGGCGGAGGGCCTGGGGCTGCGCGTGGGAACCGCGGGGCCGGCCGCGGGGCCTGCCTCCGGGCCTCTCCGCACCGCCCGCGAGAGCATCGAGCTCCGGCGCGGCGCCTGCGTGCGCACCACGGGCGAGGAGCTGTGCAACGGCCACGGGCTCTGGGTGAAGCTGACCAAGGTGCGCAGAACCCGCCCCCGGGCGGGGATGGGGCAGGAAAGCCCCCTCTGGAGCTGGCATCCTGCGTTCGGTGCCCTTTGCCCCGGGGCCGGCTGGGCAGCTCCCTGACGGCTGGCCCCGATCTGGCGCGCGGTGGCAGGAGCAGCTGGCGGAGCACCTGGGCGACTGCGGACTGGACGCAGGCTGGCTGCTCGTGTGCCGGCCGGCCGAGGGCGGCGCCCGCCTTGTGCCCATCGACACCCCGGACCACCTCCAGCGGCAGCAGCAGCTCTTTGGCGTGGACTACCGGCCGGTGCTCAGGTTTCCGCGCTTGGGGCAGGGGGGTCAGGATGGGAGTGGCCCCGAGAAGCTGGGGCGGACGAGGAGGGGTGGACATTGGGGCGGAGACCCCGGCCCAGAGCAAGCAGAGTCCGGGCAGTATTTGTGGAGGTGAACTTGTGGTGTCATGCCGCCGCTTGCTGATGCCGCCCCATCCCAATGCCCCGCCCCCCGACTCGGTGCCCGCAGGTGGGAGCAGGTGGTGGACCTGACCTACTCGCACCGCCTGGGCTCCAGGCCCCAGCCGGCGGAGGCATACACGGAGGCCGTCCAGAGGCTGCTGTGAGTGAGCGGGCCTGGAGTCGGGGAGGGAGGAGCTCCAGGTCTGGCAGCACGCTAACCAGGGGCTTGCGGCTTGCTCAGCTATGTGCCCCCGACGTGGACCTATGAGTGTGACGAGGACCTGATCCACTTCCTGTATGACCACCTGGGCAAGGAGGACGAGAACCTGGGCAGTGTGAAGCAGTATGTGGAGAGCATAGACGTTTCCTCCTACACGGTGGGTGCTGGCACTCTTCCCGGCAAGAGGTGGCCACGGCACAAGGCCAGCTCCAGAACCCTAGGGTCGGGCCAGAGTCGAACCAGATTCCCGTCAGGCCGCGGGCTTAGGGCAGTTCTCTCCATCTCGGAAGCCTGTAGGCAACCCACAGGCCCCCCTGCTCCTAGCATCCCCCTGAATCCAGCATGCTTTGTGTCCTGTGCTGTCTGGCCTAAAGCATATGCAGTCAGGCCTGCCCACTGACTCCACTTCTGTATCCCAAACCAGGAGGAGTTCAACGTGTCCTGCCTGACAGACAGCAACGCAGACACCTACTGGGAAAGCGATGGGTCCCAGTGCCAGCACTGGGTACGGCTGACCATGAAGAAGGGCACCATTGTCAAGTAGGCAGGCTCCGAGAGAGGCCGGGGGCGGGAAGGAGCTGCAGGCCCTGGGAGGTGGCAGCAGCAGGTGCATGCTCTGACTCACCCAGGAAGCTGCTCCTCACGGTGGACACCACAGATGACAACTTCATGCCCAAGCGGGTGGTGGTCTACGGGGGCGAAGGAGACAACCTGAAGAAGCTGAGTGACGTGAGCATTGACGAGTGAGCAGGCAGCCTGGGTTGGGAGAGGCAGGGCACGGTCCTGGGCCTGGCTGAGCCTGAAAGCTGAAGTAGGGGTGCGGAGGGAGGAGCAAGGAGGGACCCCAGAGGTCCGTGAAGGCCTAAGGCAGGGGTCTGAAGTGCCTCACGTCCATCTCCCCAGGACCTTGATCGGGGATGTCTGTGTCCTGGAGGACATGACCGTCCACCTCCCAATAATTGAGATCCGCATCGTGGAGTGCCGAGGTGGGGGCCTAAGACTGTAAGGATGGGAAGGGAGCCCGGTGTGTAGTGGGGGCCAGTGGACAGTGTGGAGAGGAGCGGCCGGGCCTAGAGCTGGGCGAGGGCTATGCCAGCTCCAGACCATGACCTCTGGGGCCTGAGCCAAGAGGGGGTTGCCAACCGTAGCCTGCCCTAAAGCCACACAGGTAGTTGGGCCCATCTAAAAGAGGAAGTGAGATGGGACCCTCAAGGGCTCAGTATTGGAGTGGTGGGCAAAGGACCCAGCAAGGATATGGGCATCAGGGTCAGGTGCTGAGGAGGGGCCCCAAGGCTGAGCATCCGGGAGCCTTAGTCCGGGGCTGGAAGCCAAGGAGGCGGCAGATGTGACCTCTGACCACCTCCCCCTACTAGATGACGGGATTGATGTTCGGCTCCGAGGGGTCAAGATCAAGTCGTCCAGGCAGCGGGAACTGGGGCTGAATGCAGACCTGTTCCAGCCAGCCAGTCTGGTGCGATATCCGCGCCTTGAAGGCACTGACCCGGAAGTACTGTACCGCAGAGCTGTCCTCCTGCAGAGGTGGCTGTGCCCCTGGGCCTACCTCCGTCCCCACCCCACCCACGCCCCACTGGCCTCCTGTGTGTGCGTGGAGGAGGTCCCCCAGTCCCACGGTGCTCTGCACTGGGGGTCAGAGCAGCCAGGGCCCTGCCCCCCCCTCGCTCCCCCGTCCCCAGGTGCTGGGAAGCTGGGAGTCTTCACAGCCACGACAAGCTCTTAAGCCTCAGGTGTCTGTACCCCCTTGGCAGGTTCATCAAGATCCTCGACAGCGTCCTGCACCACTTGGTGCCTGCCTGGGACCACACCCTAGGCACCTTCAGCGAGATCAAGGTGAGCCTGGCTCACACCCAGGGCTGGGCTGGCTGCACTGGGCTGGACTGTCAGGCACCCACCTGGCACACATGCAGCTGTTTATACTTCACCAGAGAGCCCCAGGACCTACACTAAGACCAACCCTTTGCTGGATACAAATGGCCAAAGCCTGGTGTCTGGGGAGCTGTTCCCCAGCTGAGACTGTGGGGTACACGAGGGCTGAGGAAGAGGAGGTGGCAGAAGGGCAAGGCAGGCTGTGTCAGGAGTCACCACGGCTAGGGATGATGAGTGATGGAGACTCGTCAGTGGCAGAAGGACCATAGAATGAGGTTGACACGGTGGCCCGGAAGCAGGCTCTGTAGCTGAGACCCAGGCTGTAAAACAAGAGCTGTATCCCAGGCTGACAGAACCCCAAGAAAAGGCTATCAGAGAGTGATAGTTGTTAGAGTTGTTAGTTCACAAGGGCTCCCCTGGTGGCTGGACTGAGGAAAGACCTGGAGACAAGAATGGGACAGATGGGCCCAGCCGGGTACTAGAATGGTGCGCTCAGGTCCAGGCCTGCAGGGAGGTTCCAGGGCCTGGCCAGAGGCTGGCTGAGCCCAGAGCCCTCTCCGCTCCCCCTCCTCCACAGCAAGTGAAGCAGTTCCTGCTGCTGTCCCGGCAGCGGCCTGGCCTTGTGGCACAATGCCTGCGCGACTCAGAGAGCAGCAAGCCCAGCTTCATGCCACGCCTCTACATCAACCGGCGCCTCGCCATGGAGCACCGGGCTTGCCCCTCTCGGGACCCTGCATGCAAGAACGCAGTCTTCACCCAGGTCTGGACCACCCCGGGTCTGAGCGACCCAGGGGCAGTTAGGGGCCTGGGGCGAAGGGGACTGGACCAAAAGAGACCTGACGAGGTCTTGACACAAGCGTTGCTCTAGCTCCCTCCCTGTGCCCTTCCCCCAGGTGTATGAAGGCCTCAAGCCCTCTGACAAGTATGAAAAACCCCTGGACTACAGGTAGGGCCTGAGGGCACACAGGAACACACGACCACCCACACCCTGCCCCTGGCCCCTCAACATTTCCGCTCTGTGGCTCTTTGCCTGGCTGCCTGACCCTTGACCTCCCTGATGGAGAGACATCCCACTCCCCTTCCAGGTGGCCCATGCGGTATGACCAGTGGTGGGAGTGTAAATTCATTGCCGAAGGCATCATTGACCAAGGTGAGGCCCTGAGGGGTAGGCCAAGGGTCCCACTCATTGCCTCGTGCAGGGGTAGGGGTTTTAAAGCCACCAACTAAGGAAGACCCGGGCTGGGCTCTGAGTGCCTGCTGACAGCATCTCATTTCAGGTGGCGGCTTCCGGGACAGCTTAGCGGATATGTCAGAAGAGCTGTGCCCCAGCTCAGCCGACACCCCCGTACCTCTGCCCTTCTTTGTGCGCACAGCCAACCAGGTAGTTACCCCTGCAGATCCCTGAGCCCAAGCAAGCACAGTAGACAGAGGAGACATGGGGCTGCCCGGGGAGCCTCTGGGCAGACAAGGAGAGGAGGAGCCCCTGGACGTAGGAGGGGAAGCGGGGGAGAGCCATTCAGGAAACCCCTAGAGGGTAGTAGTGCAGGAAGGTGAGGTCTGCCCCACCGTGCTCACTGCTGTCTCTGGCCAGGGCAACGGCACCGGCGAGGCCCGGGACATGTATGTCCCCAACCCCTCCTGCCGAGATTTTGCTAAATATGAGTGGATCGGACAGCTGATGGGGGCCGCCCTGCGGGGGAAGGAATTTCTGGTGAGTAACCCACAGCCTTACCTGGAGAAAGGGGCCTGCAGCCATGGGCAGCACGTGATGAGAAGGCGGGTGTGGGCATCTGTCACACAGGTCCTGGCCCTGCCTGGCTTCGTGTGGAAGCAGCTCTCCGGGGAGGAGGTGAGCTGGAGCAAGGACTTCCCGGCTGTGGACTCCGTACTGGTGAGCAGGGCCTGGGCCCATCCTTGGCTGTCCTACACACTCTCTTGCCATGCGCATGCTCCTTCTCCAATCCCTCCTACTCCCCAGGTGACTTCTTGTGACTCCCAAGGGCCCCAGGTGCACCTACACCCTGGATGTTTGTCCCATGGTGGCATCTGTGCCTCAGCACACTCTTCCTCTGCTCCCCAGGCTGCCACCACCCCCCACAGGGCTTCCTGGCTCAGAATGGCACTGCCCCCTCTGAACACCAAGGTCACCGTTCACTCCTCTTTCTCCCTCACCCCTCACACTGCACCAAGTCTCCCTCCCAGTTCCATTCTCCCCTTTCACTGCTGTCTGCCTGGTGCAGGCACCATGTCTAACCTGGCCACTTACTACAGAAACCAGCATCCCCGGCTCTGCCCCTCCCATATACACCCCCGGCCTGACTTAAACCCTTCACAGAGGGCCCAGGGCTCCGTGAAGGTCTCCACACATGGCCGTGTTCGGAGCCACTCGATCCACGTTCAGGCTCCTGCCGAGCGGAGTCCTTGGCCCTCTCTCTCTCTCTGACTCTGCAGGATGTTCTCTCTTCTGTCTCCCAGCTGTCAATTTATCTAGGCTTCCGCTGAGATGCTGTTTCCTGCCCCCCGCAACACCTCCCCTGATCCTCAAGGCTTTCACAGCCCTTGTACAGCACACACACGTCCCACTGCCCGCACAAGGCCACCATGCCTGGCTTGCATCTCCTCCCCTGGGAGAGGCCTGCAGACAGACCAGGAGCAACTCCCCAGACAAGCTGACCTCCAGCCGCTCTTTCTGCAACCCCAGGTGAAGCTCCTTGAAGTGATGGAGGGAATGGACAAGGAGACATTTGAGTTCAAGTTTGGAAAGGAGCTGACATTCACCACTGTGCTAAGTGACCAGCAGGTGGTGGAGCTGGTGCCGGGGGGCGCAGGCATCGTGGTGGGCTATGAAGATCGCTCTCGGTTCATCCAGCTGGTGCAGAAGGCACGCCTGGAGGAAAGCAAAGAGCAGGTAGCGTGCCAGCACTGGTTCCAGAATGCTGTGGGCTAAGCACCTGGCCCTTAGAAGCCAGAACCCAACCTGGACTGTGAGAACCTGTTCTAGGAACCCTGGCCCCCATCATTCTGTGTTCGATGCTCCTGCAGGGGAGGGAGGAGTTCCACAAGATAAGCTGAGGGTTGTGCCCTTTGCCTCAGCCATGCACTGAAACCTACTCCTCTGCCCACCTACCTCCTCCGCACCCCAGGTGGCAGCCATGCAGGCAGGTCTGCTGAAGGTGGTGCCGCAGGCTGTGTTGGACTTGCTGACCTGGCAAGAGTTGGAGAAGAAGGTGTGCGGGGACCCCGAGGTCACCGTGGATGCTCTGCGCAAGCTCAGTGAGTTTCACGCAGCGAGGCGCGTGGGAACAGGGCAGGCCCAGGGGGCTAGGCGGGGCTTTCGGACCAGGCAGACCGGGACCTAAGAGTGAAAGCTGGCTTTGTCCTCTGTAGCCCGGTTTGAGGACTTCGAACCCTCCGACACGCGGGTGCAGTACTTCTGGGAAGCGCTGAACAACTTCACCAACGGTCAGTGAAGGAGGATGGGGTACCCGCCGGGGTTGGCACCCACTCGGGGGCAGGGAGGGGACCTGCAGCCCGGCCCTCAGCGCACGTGCTGAGTTCCCACTCCGCTGCCACCCAGAGGACCGAAGCCGCTTCCTGCGCTTTGTCACGGGCCGCAGCCGCCTGCCTGCAAGAATCTACATCTACCCAGACAAACTGGGGTGAGTGCTGAGGCGGGGGTCTGCAGGTGCTGCGGCCAGCGTTCTGTACACACGCCTAAACCGGCCTGCTCTGTGTTCCCCACCTCCTCCCTCCCTGCCCTCCACCAGCTATGAGACCACAGATGCGCTGCCGGAGTCTTCCACCTGCTCCAGCACCCTCTTCCTGCCGCACTATGTCAGGTAGGTTTGCCTGGGTACAAGCCTGGGGGTCTTAAGGGGGGTGTTGTCCTTGTGGGGTGGAGGACTTCTGACACAGACCAGAGCCCGGTTCTCCTGAGGAGTAACAGAGGGGCCTGAGCAAGACATCCCCACAGCGCCAAGGTGTGTGAAGAGAAGCTGCGCTATGCCGCCTACAACTGTGTGGCCATCGACACCGACATGAGCCCCTGGGAAGAGTGAGGTGCTGCCAGGGGACAGCCATGGGCAGGCAGCACTGCGCCTGCTTGGTCCTGGCTGGCCTCACCCAGGACGAACACCCTGCCCTGCACCACTGAGCGCCGGTGGCCCGGCATGAGCAGACACCTTCAGAAAGCCCCTGGCCGCACTCCTCCGTGTGGTCGGAGTTGGCACCACGGTGCAGCCCCGCAGACCCACAAGCCCTACTCGTGCTGGGACTTGTTCCCCGAGGCGTTCAGCCTTCGCCAGAGGGACCTTCCAGACAAGCCCAGCACAGCTGCCAGGCCTGAGCTACTTGAAGGGGGGTGCCCGGCCCCCCACCCTGTGCATTTGGCTTCCATTTTTTGGTTCAGTCTTTTTATCTCCTTTCTTCCTGGCTTCAGCTCTGACTCTAAACTTTGGGAGACAATGTCTGTCCCTCCATGGCAAGGGGCCAGGGGTTGATAGGGAGCAACGGCCATCCCCCTGATCACCTGCTCAAGAGTAGAACAGCTGAGCATCCCCTGTGTCACTACCGAGTTTTTTTCTTCTTCCATAACCAAGGCGAGAGCTCTGCCCTTCCTCCAAACCAGTCTCATTGACAAGGTGCCACCACCTTCCTCACTCAGAAACCCACATCCACTCATCCTGACACCCATCCCACCACCCCGGATCCACCCCCACATTACCTCCCCATCTGCTGTGGGTTTTGCACAGATTAAGGCCAGTTATGTCCGCCCCGATACCAACAGCTTTTCCGTGCCCAACTCGACGCCTAACTTTGCACCTATTCCAGGGCTATGCACGTCCCTGCCCCAGCCCTGCCCCTGTGGGCCTTTGAGACATGCCTTCCGAAGAAGGTCTTGCACATGACAGAGTTGAATAAATGGTTGAATTCATTCCAAGTGTGATTTTTTGGGGCTCCTAAGATCTGACTGGGCTCAGTGCTTGGCACAGGAAGTACACAGGGAAATTGCTCAATCCCAGAAGAGCTAGAGAAGTATGTCAAGTGTCGTTATGACATTCCAGTGAGCTGACAAGGGACTTAAGGACAGCCCTACTGGAGGGGTTCAAGAGGCTGGCCTGGCATTCTGGGATGGTGTGGCTGGCGATTTTGAGGATGGGAGTCTGTTTGGAATCAAGTAACCTGAAGCATTTCATAGCAGAAGGCAAAGCTAGATAGCTGGCGGGGGCCGGGGGGGAGGAGCCTACTCTATTCGCCCTCCCCACCCACCTGCATCTGCTTCAGGCTAGAGTGCAATGTAAGGACGAATCACCTGTGAGGGACCTTGTGCAGGTCCAGCCCCCACAATGGGCAGGCAAGATCAGCACAGCCCCGGGGCCTAGGTTGACTCCTAGGTTGACTCAGAATTGACGGACAGTGGGGGGCTTGAGGCTTCAGCATGGCTCAGGCAGCATCCTTGCAGCTGTTCCACACCTCGTGTTCTAGCGTGTTCTGACGCACCCTCAGCCAGAAGAGGACTTTGGAGTAGTGGCGTTGAACCCCTCTCTCCTTGTGCTCACCCTGATACTGGCCAACTCCCCCAAATACAGTTTAACACTCCCCCGTGGTCCCATCCAGTCCCTGCCAGTCCACCCAGGAAACAGGCAGACAGGTGAAGACCACCGGGCCCCCAGGCCCAGCTGGCTTCGCTCTTCTGAGCAATCTCCCATCTGGCCTGCAGGGGGCAGGCCTTTCCTTTTTCTGTTCTCTGCAGGCACTGTCAGTTTCTGGGTTGGTCTCCCAAGTCTGGTCCCTATTTTCCTCACACTGTATGTTTCATGGTATTCTTTTCACTTAATCATTCATTCACTCAAAAATACACATCAAGCAGCCTTCTAAGTGCAGTGGCTAAAACAGATCATTTTGGCCCTCAGGGAATTTAAACCATAATGAGAGACTCATAATCGACAATCATATGGACTATCGCAGTTCATACCATTTGTGTGTGGTCAGACATCAGAACAGGATCATCTTAACAGTTGGGACTTGAGATGCTGAGTGTGTAGCAGCAAGTCAGGGATTCAGCTCAACATGGCTGCAGTCATGGCAGACAGAACCATCATCCTGAAGGATCAAGATGGCAGAATAGGGTAAGGACATATTTAAACAGACGGAGAAATATTAACCAGTGTGAAGCAAAGAGGACACATTCCAGGAAATAGGAGAGGGCAGAACAACAGCAGAGGGGTACCTGGAGACTGACAGACACAGAAAAGCAGCAGACACCATGATGTGGTGTTGCAGTGACTGATGCCCCAGTGGCATTCAGCAAACGGCAATTTGAACTCCACCAGCAGCTAGAACTCCACCAGCAACAAAATGGGATGGGAAGTTCACTGGGAGCTAAGGAGGTGAGCCCAAAGAATTGCCCATCCTGATGCTCTGTTTCATTTGATCAGGAGCAGAGACATAGCGGAAACAGAGACATAACAGCAGGCCCCAAACAGGCGGTGCAGGAACAGGGTGGATTTCACAGCTCAGTCTGTCTTATTTGGCACAATTTTGCTTAAGGAGCCCTATTTGGCACAATTTTGTTTAAGGAGGCAAGGGCTATGGACAGTATTGCGCATGCACTGAGCTGGAAGTGAAGTCATTTCTGACTCAGTGAATTGCAATAACATGGCATCCAACAGGTTCCACCCAAGACAGGTCCAAGTAGCCCTCAGACCTGACGGCCAGCAGATCAAGATTCCTAGCAGTGGCACATCAGGTGCCATTTCTTATGGTTTGGCCAAGAATTTAAGACTGCAGGGGACAACAGTGAGATGCGCATCTGCTAAGCTTGGCGAGAACTCACTGAGCTCAGTGCATAACTGGTCCCACAGGAAAATAATACTGACCATGGCATTTTACAGGTCAAAACAGGTCCATGTGGCCCTCAGACCTAACAGCCAGCAGGTTCCAGCAAGATCACCACCAACAACTTAGTTGTATAAGACACCTGGTGTCTCCCTAATCCTGGGAACTGTTCGAACCAGTAGTAGGAAAAAGGTTGTACAGACAATGGTGCAGCCTCAGCACGGTATCACAGGAAGTGGAGATTGGTGAGCTAGGAGCTGGGGCTACAGAGACCATGGTGGAAATCTGACATAAGAATCCAGACCTGGAACTCTCTGGAGGGAGTGACACAATTGACTGCAAACAAAAAGCTGTGTACCAACTGTAATAAGTAAAATCAAACTGGACCTGTGGGTGACACAGCTTAGAAACCTGACCCAAGGAGAAGAATCTGCTAACCAGAAATATAATGACCAAGAGCAAAAGAAGAGACAGAGGCACAATGAATATTACTGAAGACTCCCCTGCAAAGTAGCAAAAGCCTTTATCAACCTCAGAGTTAACTGAGGAAGACACCGAGAAAATGGGAGATACATAATTAAAAACTTATAAAGCTTCTTATCAACAATGAGAAGCATGTAGAGCAGGCATTCAAGGAATTCAAGGAATATGTCACAGTGGAAATGAATCAAATGAAAGCTGATAAATCAGAAATGAAGAATACAGTGGAACAAATTAGAAGTACAGTGGAGAGTCTCCAAAATAGAATGAAGAGGGCAGAAGAAAGAATCTCAAAATTAGAAGATATTTCCTGAGCGATGCTCCAGGAGACCCGCAGACCTGTGTCTTGCTTCAACAGTATTTAAACGGAACAGGCCCACGGACTCTCTTTCACTGACTTCAACCACCTTCCCATCTCTTCTCCAGTTTACAGCCTCTGGGACCACTTGTCAGCCATCTCCATCTCCTCCAACGCCGTTTTTTGGGGTCATCTCCTTGACACTGAACAACCATGACCTTCCAGATTCGTCAGAATTATTCCACCAAGGTGGAGGCTGCTGTCAACCACCTGGTCAATCTGCTCTTGCGGGCCTCTTACACCTGCCTCTCTCTGGGCTGCTATTTCATCCGCAATGATGTGGCTCTGGAGGGTGTGGGCCACTTCTTCTGCGAGCTGGCAGATGAAAAGCGTGAAAGGACTGAGTGTCTTTTGAAGATGCAAAACCAACGTGGCGGCCACGTCCTGTTCCAGGATGTACAGAAGCCGCCCCAAGATGAGTGGGGCAAAACCCAGACACCTTGGAAGCAGCCTCGGGTCTGGAGAAGAACCTGAACCAGGCCCTTCTGGAACTTCATACCTTGGGTTCTGCCCACACAAACCTTCATCTCTGTGTTTCCTGGAGAACCACTTCCTTGACAAGGAGGTCAAACTCCTCAAGAAGATGGGTGACCACCTGACCAACATCCGCAGAGTGGCCACCCCCCAGGGATCCCAGGCCAGCCTGGGTTAGTACCTCTTTGAAAAGTTCAGTTTGAAAAGTTCACTCTGAAGCACGACTAGGGGCAACAGAGCCCAGCAGCCATGGCGGGGGGGGGGGGGGCAGGTGTCCCCTGCATCTCCAGGTATCCCAATTTATGCCTAACCATCCCCTCCAGCCACTAGGCAGCTTGTTAACAGCCCCCAGAGCTCTCTCTTAAACCTTGGACCAAATGGAAATAAAAGTTTTTTGCTGCAAAAAAAAAAAAAAAAAGATATTTGCTTTCACCAGGGAGAAACAGACAAAAAGCAGGAAGCAGAGCTGTAGCAGGCCAAAAAAGTATTCAAGAATTGAAAGACACTATTAACAAGCCAAATATAAGAATTATGGGAGTCCCAGAAGGTGCAGAAAGAGAAATTGGAATTAAAGATATATTCAATGAAATAATAAGGGAAAATTTCCCTAATCCAGAGAAAGAATTGGGAAACAACATCCAGGAAGGACACAGACTCCCAGCAGGGTTGACCACAAGTGATCTTCACAACGACATATGATAATCAAGTTCTCTTCAATTGAACATAAGGAAAACACGCTTGCATGTGCACATGAAAAACATCAATTCAATTACAAAGAATGCCAATTAAACTCACAGACCTCTCACAGGATACTTGATAGGCCAGAAGAGAATGGAGCAACATATTTGAGATTCTAAAAGCAAAAAATTGTCAACCCAGGATAACGTACCCAACAAAATTTCCCTTTGTCTTTGAAAATAAAATTCAATTTTTCCACAGTAAACTAAAGGTAAAAGAATATGCTTCTTCCAAACCT